ATGGAATATATTAAGATAAATGAAGCATTCAAAGGCTTGATTGCATTATGCTGCTCTGATGGACAACACATTCGCTTTCACCATCTACCTTTCTAGCAYTACCTTCAAAACTAAAAGTAAACATCTGTTGACTTCTTACAACTTAAAGTTCTTTGTCTCTAGGTTTTATAATCATGTTTTTCCCTATATATTCATTTTTCCGGTATTTAAAGCTAATTCTAATGATGTTGAGAGCTACTTAAAGTCAGCATACACATTTTACCACTGCTGAGAAAGGACAAAGGATCTGAATTAGTGTGCAGCCTTAAATTATTACCGAGGCTTTTTTTAACAAAAGAGATTAAGTAGAATATTTAATAAGCTGCTTTTTATATACACAGCTTTGTAACAGCCTGAAAGAAAAGTTGTTGCTTTGTTTTTTGGTTTTTGTCAATTTTTTCTTTGACTGGCAAATCAGTGAGGTGTGAAATTGCGTTTCAGTCTCTTCCCTCCGTGTAAACTTCTTCAAATACATTTCTTTGCATTTGCAAAATGGGATCATATTGATTACATTTTGGAAAAAGAAGAATAGATACTCTCTAGATGTTTATTCCATAAAAAACATCTGGCTGGTAAAAAAAGAAAGTCAATGGGTGTACACTTGGTGCTTGCAGATCTTATGATTTAGGCAGCGAGTCCCAGTTGAGAGATAAATAAGCCCATTACTCGTCTCCAGTCTCAAACTATGTCTGGTAAAAACTCATCTTTTCTTCTGTCTGCCTTTCATCATACTCAAAATTGAGCTCTTTTCATCAGATGACTTTGCGAGTATAGGAGGTAAACATGATGCAGGATAAAACCCTTCTGATTCATTTGCATCTTTCTTATGCTGGAAAATCCACATGAAGCAAAGGAAGTGTCAATGAGCAAATGAAAAAAAACTGAACATTTAAAATTTCATTGCACGCTTTTCATGCTAGGTGTTGCTATTCCTCGCACATTTATAATGAACCCATAATTGGACAGTAAAGTTCAATTAATCTTCTCATGTACTCAAAGGATGTATTTAAAGCTAAGCCATCAGCGTCTGATTGGAAGATTTTTAAAGCATTGCATGAACTTGTTTTGAATTACAAACATTTTTGCAACATCCTGTCATTTTTACATGTCCGTGGTTTCAAAGGCAAAGATATTTTCAAGTCTTTGTTAAAAGATATTTGGAGAAGAAAAGACATAAAAAAATACAATTGCTGAACCGTTGGATAATCTTTTTTATTATATGACAACTAGAATCAATAAGCAACAAATAGGGAGTTAGTAAAACATGCCAAATTGAGGCAAAAAAGGAAAAGAAAAGAAATAAATATTCCCTAAAAAAATCACTGGCTTTCTTCAGATGAGTAAATAACTTTTAATGTATCTGTTGATGTAGCAGCATTCATGCTAACCTGTAAAACAGTAGTCAGTATTGGTTATTATACGCATAAAACCTGGCATTAATGGCTTTAGTCTTTTATACTTTAAATCTGACTTGATGTATTCTCTTACAATTGTGATTTAGAAAGAACATAACTGCTTCACTGTTCATAGCATTTGATGGAGGAATCATGGATTAGCTGAAGGACGGTTGTAACCTTTATTGGTACACTTACAGCCCATCTCCAGCTCACACAAACTAACCTCCACTTGTACAGAGACTGAGTCATCAGTACAACAAACATTGGTCGGARACAAACACTTTCTTTGAGTAAACTACAGTTTGGAATGTTATTATCGGATGAATCATGCCATACACCATATTTCAATATTTTTATTATTGAATAAAAATGCAGAATCACCACCTTAGCAGGAAAACTTTCCATTTTTGAGCGCACCAAACGTGCCAGAGCTGTTTATCCATCGTTAACAGTGGCCCTGCTGCTATAAGGCCTGCACGTTCACAGCAGGCTCCTCTGTGGGGGAGGAGCTGTGGAGGGAGGGCTTTAGCTCAAAGGGGGAGTGACCTGTCAGGTGTGCTTGTTCAAATTTTCAGGCTAAGTCTACAGTTTTCTCAGAGCTCCTACTGGAGCTTTAAGGTTATGCTCAATTGATCCACTTTCTGTTATAGAGACTGAGGTCAGGGATCTTGTGAGAGACTTTCRTATAGTTGCAGCTAAAGTAACTGTCTTAGTTAAACAGCTTCATGGAGCTTCAGAGATGGAAACCACTTGTCCTGGGTTCTTCAGTGTCTGAGATGCTGTTGGGCTCCTCAGCCAACCTGAGAGACTGTGCTCCTCCTGAACTTCAGGTTGCAGTTCAATTCAATTTTCTCCAGCTCTTCACCCTTGGAAGAATATGTATTTGATGACGCAGTGGAGTTTGTCCAGCATGTATTTATGTGTTTGTTGACTTAAATAAGGCTTGCTACCATGCCCCTAGTAGTGTCATTCAGGGTACCTCAGGAACATGGGGTTTCCGTTTCCCTCCTATAACCATTCTGTCTCTGAACAACTTTAGTGAGGACTTGGTCCACATGCTTAAAGATCAGGTTTATATAGTGAGCAATGGACTTTGCCAAGGTTGAGATTTGTCGTTGATTCTGTTACTTATATGAGCAGAGGTTGCACAACCATGGGGCAGACGGGGGGTACAATAAAGCAAAGTATTGTTGTGCTTTACCTTCCAGTGGGATGGAGAATGATGTGTGGGCATTTTGATGACGCACACAACAAAGGATCTTCTTTTATGAACTTTACTCGCTCCAGTAACAGGTTAGTTTACAATCACAGCTGACAAGTGATACACTAGTGGGAGCCATGAGTGCCTTGCAACTAGTAAAACTGAATCACAAATCTTGCAGTGGTAAACTAGTCAAAATGACTCAACACTAGATTTAAAAAAAACCTAAACTAAATACAACAGTATGCACATACATTTATAAAAAGCTTAAACTACCTCACAGTATTGATAGGTATAGACTGGGGCAGCCTCTGTAGTGATCTGAMTATTGTTCTGTTGTGGTGAGTAAGGAGCTGAGTTAGAGTGAAGCTGTGAATGTACCAATTGACTTMTGTGATTTACAACCCTAATCTTAAGATCAAGAGCTAAGAAGAGGGACTAAAACATTTAATAAATTTCTTAAAGATCYCTGCTYAAGATGTTGCTCTTTCYATCCAGTCTCTAAACAGCAGAAAATTTATTATTGTCTGTGGGTTTAAGACAGACAGAATGTTGAAGATGTATATGTATGCCCACTGGGTAAATTTATCACAAATTCTTAGTAATTTCATTATAGTCCAAAATACCATTCTTGGAATAAGTCCTCTGAGGCACGTGTTTAAAAGTATAAACCCATGCAAACCTTTGTTGTCGCTCAAATGCATGAAAACTCTTCTTTGTGCAGAAAAGCTCTGAAAGCAGTGTAGCCGTTGCATCCTCTGGAAAACAGAGCACTCAGCAGTCATTTACAGTCCATTACAGTTTCTAAAATCCATTATCCACACATACGACACTGGTTGTGTTAGGGAGTCCAACTGGGCCTTCATGGCCTTATGTGCCTGTGTGTGATGATAAATACAGCTGCAGTAACACTCATCACTGCTTGTTATCATGGGATAAATATAATGAGACGTTTATGACAAACACCAGATGGTAGGAATTAAACCAGCAAAGTGTAAATGAGTGATYACTTTACCCTTTTTCTGCAAAAAGGAGAAATCTCAACCTTGGTGTGGACGGTGATTGCAATTACACATCTCAGTTTGGGGCAAAAATAGTCCTTGTTATAAAACCTGCAGCAGCTGTAATACCAGTCAAAATTTGTTCAATTTTCCCAGGAAAATGATGTATTGGAGCCAAATTGATCTTTACCTGTTTGCAGGCTAGATAACTGAGGAAGAGTCTTAGCCTGAGTGAAAGATTTTGATGATGAAAACTGTTGGAATAGCTGTGTTGTATACCTGTGCCACATAAGTCCTTAAGTTTTTTTTTTCTTTCTTATTTTTGGCTGATTGTTGTTTTCCTTCTTAGTTTTCGGGCAGGAAACACATTGACTTCCATTATTAACTGAATGAGTAAAGCTCAGTAGATGTTTTAAAGACCTTCAGGGTCATGAAGGGTAAGGCAAATGTATGTGTTGTACACTGCAAAAATTAGCCYATARTACTATATTATAGTCTGAATCTTCTCAAATCAAGTAAAAATAATATACCAGTGCAGTAAGAGGATTACACTTCGCAAGTCTTTTTGAAATAAAGAAACAATTCCAGACTAACAAGATTAATAATTGAACACACTCTGTTCTTGCTTAGTACATCAGTCTCAAAACAAGATCAAAAATACTTTTTGGCTGGACGTAAGATTTGTAAGATGGTTAGATGGATATTTTTTGCTGATTAGAGTCTCACAGCCTGAAATGACAGTCACTTTATCCCAAGATGCTCGTGCTTCTGTATTAAGAAGTTAAAAAAAAATTTTATTCTCGTGCAAACTTGGAAGATTTTCCATGTGTGAACTATGAATATTTTTATTATTGTGAAAATTTATATTTTCAGTTTTCATTTATCAGGAAATCATTGTCACAGCAAGAAATACTGTAGTCTTTGACTGATGATGACAGAAATAAGCGAGGTTGAGGGGGAACACTTGCAGATGACACAATTTGTGCAGAAGTAAAAAAATAGGTTTCAGAAACTGTGGCGTTTGAGGCAGGAATTTTTTTAAATGGTGGTGCACACCACATTTTCAAAAAGGCAAATTTTGCTTCTTGTTCACCACTGTTGCCTTACATTCATGTGCACACACTTTTCTATAATGCATTTATAAATATTTAAAGCACTGTATTGGATTTGATTTGACCCAGCAGATTGTATTACTATTTAAAATAAAATTGTCATGAATTTAGCCACAGAGAAAATAWATGGATGTGACCATTTCCTTTTCGTTGTATTAACTGTAGTTCTCATCTATGTCCACTAGGTGTCACCACTTCCACAGAAGATGTCAAAGAAGCCAACTTGGAAAGAACCTCCAGGAACAAACCAGAAGAGAAACTGAGTTGCAAACCTCAGTAAAAGACATTTGTCTGGAAATCAGTCTTGACTGACCAATGTCATATATTGTCACAAACATGGATCTAAAGTGTGCTTTTGTTGACACTAGGAAGTTAGGAACAAACTGGAAGAGCTGAAGCCAAAAGCTTGTCATACACTGAAGATCTTTTGGGTCTTTTTTTTAGGAATGATTTGCCTGGACACCCCAATTAAACATGTTTTAAATCAGAACGAGAGGTTGAAACKTATGTACCTACTTAATAAAAAGTGAGCATCTTTCAACTTTTCAACTAAGCTGAGAATAGAGCCGTGGTTCCCATGCAGCCTCGGCTGTGATGACTTTAGTTTGTCTCCAGTGAAGCACCAGTAATAATGTTGTCAAAAGTGACGCTGGGTGTCATCCTTTCCCTTCTCATCCTTCTGACTGTGGGTGGTAATGTGCTGGTGTGCCTGGCTGTCTGTGCCTCTCGACGCCTCCGCTGCCTCACTAACTGCTTCATTGTGTCGCTGGCTGTGACAGACCTGCTGCTCGGCCTCCTGGTCCTCCCGTTCTCCGCCCTCCTGCAGCTCAACGACGAGTGGCCGCTTGGCCCCGTCTTCTGCAACTTCTACATCTCCATGGACGTTATGCTGTGCACGGCCTCCATCCTAACTCTGCTGGCCATCAGTGTGGACCGCTACCTGGCAGTGACCATGCCTCTGCGTTACGCCTCACTTGTGTTGCCGTGGAGGGTTGCTTTAGCCCTGATGAGCGTTTGGACAGTTTCCGTGGCCGTGTCGTTCCTGCCCATTCAAATGGGCTGGAACACGGTTAACGGCACGGTGCAGAACCACGGGCCRTGGGCTTCAAAGAGGAGGTGTCGTTTCGAGCTGAACAAACCTTATGTCCTCACCGATTCCCTTCTCACCTTCTACCTGCCTCTCGGGGCGATGTGCTGGACCTACCTSCAAATCTTCCGCATTGCACGGTCTCAGGCCAAGCGCATCATCAGTGCCCAACCCATTTGCATCACCAGCTACAACAGCCGGAACAACCCCGCCACCCGTACCACTCTGGTTTCCAGYGCCACAGCCGTGGCACTGAGAGAGCACAAAGCCACACTGACTCTGGCAGCAGTGATTGGAGCGTTTGTGGTCTGTTGGTTACCTTATTTCATATTATTCACGGTGCTGGGTTTAAAGGAGCATCCAGACCCTGGCATAGTACCAGAATTCCCCATAGTGTTGTGGCTGGGCTACGCCAACTCAGCCCTCAACCCCATACTCTACGGAGCCCTCAACAGGGACTTCAGGTCAGCTTACAGCCACCTCCTGAGATGCCGGGTCCCTTCTTACACTGGGTGGAGAAGTCGACAACCATCTGCTACTGTTACAGCAGGTGACACTGTTTAACTGAACTTCTGCATTCCCAACTATTTTAATAGTTTTATTTATTAATCAGCAACAGTCTTTTGCGGTCAGTGTGAACACAAGACCAGTGGTTCCTAAACTTTAATGCTTTTGACCCACAAAGCAAAAGTTACAAAAACTCCTGACCCTTGTGACTTGTTCAACTGAAGCACAAATCTGATTGTTGAGCCATTTAATGAAGCATTTAAATTTTCATGAACTTATGACCATTGTTTTAATTTATTTGTAACAGTTAGAGCTAAATATGCTACTGGCAATCATTTATAAAGTTTGTCTGACAAGTGGAGTGAGTCCCAGCTCTTACTGTGTGGACTACAGGTCTGCATAGCACTTGATATAGTTTTTAGACAGAAAGGTAAAATAATAGAAACAATTTTAGTCGTGATGCAAAGTTAACAAACCATTTTTTGGTGTAACCACTTAAGAAGGTGCAGTTTTCTGTCTTTTCAAACAATCCTGAACACACTGGATGGCTGAGCCTCACCATCACTTATAAGACTGCTTGTTTTGCTTCACGCTGAACAGTTCTTATTAATCTACACTATGGGATTTGGGGGTCATTGTCCTGCTGCAGAGTAAACTTAAATTGAATCAGACACCTCCCTTGTGATATCGTATGATGGCTCAGTATCTGTTTACAGTTTTCAGAATTAAAAAGAARACTGTATTTGCAGAAATGACAGCTTAAATTTCAAGGGACCTCCACCTTGCTTCACTTTTGATGCAGGYACTCATAATCAAACTTCTGTGAACAAACGTCCTTCAGCCACAGACATTTCTTTTTAGAATTTTTACCTCATAAGCCCAGAACTTATACATCCAGTTTTTAAACACCCTGTTTCTTTCTGTATAGTTGAGTTGCTTGACCTTGTCAGAGACCTTTTGGCCACAAATGTTCAATGAAGACCACTTTTTGATAATCTTCACTAGACAGCAGATGAACATATCCAGTGGGCTTTTAGCCAGTTCTGAGAGTGGGTCATCTCACGTGGCAAGAAARTAAACTTRACGTGTTTATTATCACTTGCATTTTGTAAACTCCTTAAAAATGTACAACTTGAGTGTGTTTCATACCCGTCTAAAACCGCTACATTGTACTGTTCTGTTTCTTTCTTTTTGCATCTTTCCATATTGTATTTTGCCTCTCCTCTGTCCCCACTTCACATCTTAGCCAGAGAGCAGCTCACAGAGATGACACTGTTGTGTTGYCACGCCCCCGCAGCCTGCAGGGCAGCTCTAACAGATCAAAACGTTACGCTTCAGGACATGAACAGCAGGACAGCCACACCAACTATCCACTCTGCAAACGGCAGTGCTGCCACAGATGTCAAAGGCAATGAAGGGTAATTACTTTAAAAGTGTTGTGAACATCATGTGTATAGTGCTGTTTGAGACTGCCTCTTGCTGGAGTGGCAAAATGACTGCCATGAACTCATTTGGAGATAAATTCCTTCTCATTTTAGACAACATTTCTCTAAAACACAAAGTCTTCCTTATTATCAATTTCACAGAGTTCAGGTTGTGCCTAGCTGGAGCTGATGAGGTGGGTGCTGTGCTCATTTTACAACCCAGAGTCAGAACCCATCAGCCTGACGAGAATGAGTAACAAACAGACCAAAGATGGACAGCAATGTAACAACCCCCCACATACTCAGTCCGTCAGCAGAGCCAACCATAATACCACATGTAAGTAGATATACTGCACATACTGACATCCCCGTGGCCCTCACAGGCCATGTCTTGCCCAGAACAAATGAACTGTAACACAGATCCTAGCTGTGTCATCCACAGTGCATTAGGCCATATGGCAATATGTTTATTAGGCCAAGAAAATGCGCTAACAACACTGAGGAAACACGTGATCTATTTGTACAGCCTGCTTTCCATCCACTGTTTGTGTTTTGCCAAAGAAATTAAATAAAAGTTTGCAAAGTGTAAGTTAGTTAAAGCTACATAAGTTTTCTTTTCCTTTGTTAATGAGAGACTCTGCAGAGCTGCCGAACTGAGGTACATTGTAGAAACACAYACAGTCTGATCCAAAATGAACAAATTGAGTTTGTTTATGCATTAGTACTGTTTTTAATCTATTAATGGTCATCACGTTATTATGTGTAGTAGTTGTTTATTCAAATGCAAATTTTTTGATGAAAAAATTGTTCAACCTTCAAGCTATTCTCTGTTGTCGGAAACTAAAATAACTGAAAATAAGATTAGAACATTTTTTTAAGTTTTGAACAGAATTTTTCAGTGTATTTGGCTCTCCACTGTATCCCACATTGTATACATTTACTAAAAATGCACTTTTAAAATACTGAGTGCTGTACATTCATATACACTGCAAAAAATGTCCATCTCGCCAAGTCGTTCAGTCTTACATCCAGCTAAAAAGTATTTTGGATCTTGTTTTTAGACTGATACACTGAGCAAGAGCAGAATGTGTTGGATCATTAATTTTATTTCAAAAAGTCTTAACAAGTTCACTTGTCTTACAGAGATAATTTAATTTGTGACGATTCTGACTACAACCTATTAACTTATTTTAGATGGCTAACTTTTGCATTGTATGTGATTTTGTACCGCCCGTAACCTTAAAGTTGTTTTAGTGATTGTTTCTTTTCATCTTTGTATTTTGACAACTGTAAATAAATATAGAAAAAAAAACTTTGCTTATCTTCATTTTTGTCTACCTTTTAGAACTCACTCAACTCAAACTTCAACAAGACTAAGGTAAATCAAGATCCCAGCAGGGGCAGCATTGTGGATCAGTGGTTAGAGCTGTTGCCTCACAGGAATGAATGTCGCAGGTTTGCCTCCCAGCATTTCTTTGTAGGGTTTGCATGCTCTCCCTGTGCATGTGTGGGTTTTCTCCAGGTGCTCCAGTCTCCTCCAACAGACCAAAAACATGCCTGTTGACCGGTAATTCTTAACTGACCATGGGTGTGAGTGATGGCGTGCATGGTTGTTTGTCTCAATGTGTTCCTGTGATGGACTCGTGACCTATCCATAGTGTACCCCACCTTCCACACAATGATCTCCAGAGATAGGCACCAGTTCCCTACAAAGACGATTGATGAATAGAAAATGTTATCTCCACAAATCAGCCTGGTTCTCAGTCTCCAGTGTATAACTTTTCCTAAAGTGCGACTACTGTGCTTAGCTGAAAAAAGAGATGAAGCTCTGCTAGACAGTAGTCAATCAACTTGTTGATCACTAGTTTCATCAAGAGAAGAACATATTTTATGCCGACTCAAGAGTGCTCTCCAGTGGAAACATGAAGCACAACTTCTTCAGCTTAGAACAAAACACATTCATCTTAATCGTGCATTTTCCATCAAAATCAGAAAATAGAAGCAAAACATGAGCAGACCTTTAGTTCATACATCTGTTTACCCAAATGTGCCCAAGGTAATGGTGTGCATTGATTTTGAAAAATGCAGCCACGGATGGATGTACTTACTGAATCACAATGTACTGTATATGTACTGAAAAAAAAGATAATGTTCTTATAAAATAAATAAATATAACCAATAAAATGAAAAAAGAAAAAAGAAAGGCCTATCCTTTGTAGGAATGCATCACCTTTTCAACTAAAATCATCTTAAACATGATAAAGTTTAAATCTTTTTGGTCAAATTTCAAAAATAATGCAATACAATGATGCAATATCACTAGATGTTGCATGATTTTGTAGTGCTTAGAGTTTGGGGCATTCTAAGTGAGAAATATCAACTGAAATGGTCCTACCAGCCCTGACTTGAAAGTCCATTATAGCTGACTTAAGTGCAAAGTGTTGAGAAAGCTGTGGGAATAAACTTTTTATTTTCACTTCTGTCATTTTGTATCTCAGTAAATCCATCTCACACACGACATTCCAATCATTATTAGTTAATGTCTTGGTGCAGTGTTTAAATAACATCCGTCCATTTTCTTCTGCTTATCTGGGGTCAGGTCGCGGGGGCAGAAGCCTAAGCAGAGAGACCCAAACTTCCYTCTCCCCAGCCACTTGGGCCAGCTCATCCGGGGGGATCCTAAGGCGTTCCCAGGCCAGCCGAGAAACATAGTCCCTCCAGCGTGTCCTGGGTCTTCCTATGGGCCTCCTCCCAGTGGGACGTGCCTGGAACACCTCACCAGGGAGGCGTCCAGGAGGCATCCTAACCAGACGCCCGAGCCACCTCAACTGGCTCCTCTTGATGTGGAGGAGCAGCGGCTCTACTCTGAGTCCCTCCCAGATGACTGAGCTTCTCACCCTATCTCTAAGGGAGAGCTCAGACACCCTGCAGATGAAACTCATTTTGGCCGCTTAAACTGTATCAGCGATCTCGTTCTTTCGGTCACTAACCAAAGCTCATGACCATAGATAAGGGTAGGAATGTAGACCAACCGGTAAACCGGGAGCTGAGCCAGAAGGCAAAGCTCTCGCTTCACCACGACAGACCGGTACGACGCCCGCATCACTGCAGATGCAGCACCAATCCGCCTGTTGATCTCCCGCTCCATTCTTCCCTCATTTGTGAACAAGATCCCGAGACACTTAAACTCCTCCACTTGGGACAGGACCTCCTCCCCGACCCGGAAAAGGTACCCTACCCTTTTCTGGCTCAAGACCATGGTCTCAGATTTGGAGGCACTGATCCTCATCCCGGCCACTTCACACTTGGCTGCGAACCGCTCCAGTGAGAGCTGGAGATCACGATCTGATGAAGCCAATAAGACCACATCATCTGCAWAAAGCAGAGACGTGATCCTAAGGTCACCAAAATGGATCCCCTCAACACCGTGGCTGCACCTAGAAATTCTGTCCATAAAAGTTATGAACAGAATTGGTGACAAAGGGCAACCTTGGTGGACTCCAACTCTCACTGGAAACGAGGCCGACTTACTACCAGCAATGCGGACCAAGCTCTGGCACTGGTCGTACAGGGACCTAACAGCCCATATCAATGGGCCTKRTACCCCATACTCCCAGAGTACCCCCCACCGGAGACCCCGAGGGACACAGTCGAACACCTTCTCCAAGTCCACAAAACACATGTAGACTGGTTGAGCGAACTCCCATGCACTCTTCAGGACCCTGCTGAGGGTGTAGAGCTGGTTCAGTATTCCACGACCAGGACGAAAACCACATTGCTCTTCCTGAATCCGAGATTTGACTATCTGATGGATGGTGTTTAAAGGTCACTTTATGACTTTAAAGTTCTTCATCTTTAGACACTCATTTACCATTGCAGTGTGTTTTGAGTCACTATCATACAGAAAGACCCATCGTCAATCCATCTTTAATATTCTGGTTGAGAGAAGATGGTTCTCATTCAAAATGTAAAGGTATACGGTGACCCTCAATACTGTAAAGTCATTATGCACCCTTAGCAGAAAGCCCTGGTTCATAATGTCTTCACCATTCTTGACTGTGTATAATGTTTTCTTTAGGCCATGCTCAGCAGTACCTTTCCTACAACACAATGGGTTGAGTTGATGCAAAAGAGCTAGATTTTGGTCCCTTCAGAAAATAGCAGTTTTTCTCAGGCCTTCATTGAATCATTTAGATGTTGACTGACAAACCTAAGATGAACCTGGACCTGTGTCTTTTTGGCTACGTTCACACTGCAGGTCTTGATGCTCAGTTCTGATTTTTTTTTTTTTGAATTACACTTTATTGGCGTGAACGTTCACGTTATGTTTTACCTGCAACATCCATCTGGTTCCATTGTGAACTCTCCACAGCCCTGATGTGACCCGCAGAAGATGACGTTGCACTCAACTCGCTGTTTACAGAAGCAGCTAAACATGGATGCTTCTCATTAGCATGTCGATTCTGAAGTTATTGTGCAGTCAGAGCTGATTAAAAAAGTATATGACATGTTTGTTTAGTTCCGTGCTTACATTTGAAACTTCTGCATTTGCCTGCAGTGTGTAGCCTTTGAGCAGGTGAACCTGGAATTTTCYGCAAGACTTCAAACTAATATGCTGTCATGTGTGACCAGAGGTGTCATTAGTGTCTGTGGTCCAAACTGCTTTCAGATCATTACCAACCTCTTTCTGTGTGGTTGTTTGCTGATCACTCAACTTTCTTATAACCATCTTTGCCCCATGAAGCAGGACTACACAGAACCGCAGACTAAAAGGGATTGATGATCATTTTCACGCCAACTTGTCACCGTCATACCAAGCGTTTTGTTAACAGTCCAGCCTTGTGCAGATTTGCTGTCTCGTCCCTGACTTTCTTTAGCAGTTGTCTAGTCTTACCCATGGTGGCACAGGTTGAAATTGAAAGAATTGATTTTGTAAACAGGTTGTGCTTAATATACCTAACAGGCTGAGATCAAAAATGTCTGAAATGGATGGATTAAAACCTGTGCTCCACATGGACACCTAACCAATCTGCAGGCACCAGAATTCTGAATGGTTCCAAATTATTTCACTCCATGACATGTAAATCATCTTGTAACATTTATCTTGGGTTTTATATGGATTTTTTGGTTGTTTTGTCTTTTTTCAATAAAATTATACTTACTAAAAACAAGTAAAGACTGTTTATTTATTTGGAAATTTACAAGATCAGGTTAAAATCAACTAATCATTCCCCCACTTTATGACCTCATAATGCTGCATTAAAATCATGCAAATGTTTCAGGTGATTTCAAAATAAAACAAAAAACAAATAAAGTTTCAYAACTCCAACCTTGTTTTTATGGCATGTGAGGTTTTTATTAAAAAACAAAAAAAGCTTGATTCAAATTAACTGAAAGTTTTCAATAGAATTGTAATCAAAACTTTTTTTCAGAAATGTGACAGTTGAGACATTCAGATGCAGTAAATGACATTGAATTACTGGTCTTTTCTCCTCTCACACTGATTAAGGTTTAGTTTTTAAGTAGTTTTTTTCTGTTGCTACAAAACAAATCATGTCATCTGGGTCACTTGTCATCCTTCTTCATCTCAACACCTGTGTTTTTCTCTGAGTGACCAATGGCAGCTCAAACCACACAAAACCCATTCATCACTGCTTCCTTAACTTCAGATTAATGCGGAGAAAACAGAACAGCGTATGCATGCATACACACATGCACAAATAACACACACTCATGGCTAGCTCTGAATAAGCTATCAATCATGGATATTGTCATTATTCTGTGTCATCGACAAGGCACTTTTTTCTCTCTCTCTCTCTGCATTCCGTCTTTCGCTCGATCCCCTTTCCTTTCTTTTGAATCTCTTGTGCAGACGCGCACACACATCTAAAGACAACAAGAATCATGAATCATAAATCTTATGAATGCCATCTAAAGACTGCTCAGCGCTATGAGAGAGAGAAAAAGAGAGAGAGAGTGAGTGAGATGATTGATAGATGAGAGTGACTTTGGGGAAAGCCAAGAGGATGGACAGAAGGTTGTAAACCAACAACACCGAGGTCGGAAGCAGTRGTTCAGGGGTCAAACGCATCAGAGCGTCAGCGTGCAATATGGCCAAGAGACGAGGAGAAGTGTGGGGGGGTGAGGAGAGAAGGAGGAGGAGGAGGGAGTAAATGGTTGAAGTGCAAGGGAGAGAGGAGGAGGAGCAGGAGGAGGGGTATGCTGCCACAGTGAGGCTAAAGCCATAACTCATCTTTTATTAAAAATAATGAAAAAAACTTAATGACTTAATAATATCTCGAGAAAGAGATAGGGAGTGAGACAGAGATGGAGGAAGGGACAAGAGGACAAAGAGGAGGAAGGAGAGGA